TAGAAGCTCTTAGCTTTGGTTTTATCTGCTTCTTCACTTGGCATCCAAACTTCCTCTTGCTATACCCAATGTCCCCCTCACTCTTGCTTCAACCTCATACATCCATTTTTCATCAAGGAATGTTGTCCCTCCATTTTCACATGTTGGATTTTTCTAGTCCATCAACCCTTTGGTTGGACTCTTTAATCATACAGTCTTCTTCTTGTAACATTCCTAGCACCCTTCCACTTTCAATCAGTGGAAATGGTGGGTTTTTCATGATTGGTCCATCCACCACTCCTTTCCTCCTAGCTGTTCTACTGTAAACCACCTTTCTGCCTTTTATATTGGGTAGCATTGTCCACCACATTTAACCTTTCTCAGTATGACAGGATGTTTTCTTTCCCTCCTGTCCATTTCACTTTCTTCCACTCCTTCCTTCTTCACCAACCTTCTTGCCTAATTGGGTCCTTACTGTGGTTTTGCACACTCTTACATGTACCCCATTCAATCCATTGGCTTTTTGCTCTTTGTACCACCTTTCTCTCAGTTCTTATTAACACCTTCTTCTTACTTGTGGTCGCTGCTGTTCAGTTCTCTGTTATTATTGCTTCTCTCACCCTCTTCCACTTCAATTATATACTTCATTACCCAGACCAGTCTTTTCTTCCTCAGACTTCTGGCACTCAGAAGGGTAAACATACTTTCTGTCCTGACTCCCTTGTTTCTATCTCTCACTTCTATGATTGATCAGATCTAGATTGGTTCCTTTCTGTTACTTCTCATGGAAATCTCTCTTTCAAAGTCTGTTCTTACCCTGGGATCCCTCTTTTTCCAGAAACCTCTCCCCTTCTATCTTTATTGAATGGGTCTGTTTACTTCTCCAGTTGGCATATTCTTCCCTGGGTGTAAATGCTCATAGACTATTTCACATTTCATTGCATCTGGTTCATCTCTTTTCTCATTCTGTTGCTTTTCATATTCAAAAGTTGTCAGACATGATACTCCTGGTGGGCATGTGGATGTCCCTCCACATGTTCGTCACTCATCATCTGAATGTTTCTTCTCCTGCAGGATTATGACTTCCACTGGTTGTCATACTTCAATAGATCCACCATCTTTCAAATTGATATGTATGTTTCTCTTTCATTTCTTTCCCTTCCATCAAACATGTTCCCACCAGGTGACTGGGGTTGTCTTCCATAGTATGCTTATTTCATAAAATCCACATCGAGCCAGGATAATGGAAAGTGTTCAGCCAATCTACCCTAACTCTGCCAGTGTCTACTGTGAGATGGGAAGTTCCAGAAGTCCATTTGAGTTATCCTCTTGGTATACAAAGTTACTCAGTTGTCCAATCCAGAGCATACTAATTCCATGGACTATCATGGGAAAAGTTGGCACCAAGGAAGTGATTACCCGCTTTTAAAAATAAGGTTTTGCAATCACTCATTGCACTGTCTCAAGTAAAAGACCTTTCCAGTTGGTTGTATGATGGGAATCTGGACACTTCTCTGAGTCTTCCTGATGCAAATTTGCCTCCCTCCATATTCAAGTGGGCCACAGGAGACCCTTGCCACTTACCAGTTCCTAACCACTGGGGTGGTGAATCATGGAGAATCCTCACCGGTTGGGCAAAGCACAATATAATGTAAAGTAGGGCAGTGGTAATGTTGTCAGTATAGTCAATCCTCACACAGTTAATTTGCCCTCCTCCTGCAACTAGAGTCTGTCTAGTAGAGTCGAAGTGAGCACACACCATATGGTCTGATCTTGTCCTAACTACACTGCACACTTTGGCTCACAGACAACTTGTGTGCTGATGCTCAGTTGGTCATGAATGATCACATCCCACCCATCCCTGCGACACTTCAGACTCTTTTGCCTTTCCCACCCTTTCATCTCGGGTGAAGAGTATATTCTGGTCGAGACAAGATGCAGTCTTTCATAGGTGTACCCCTTTGGAGCTCATCTGTGTGTAATTTTTACATTGGACCTTCTACCACTTCAGTGTAAGATTCTAGAATTTCTATGTTATTATCTTGGAAGTTAACACATTTCCTGGTATGAAAATGTATTTCCAGTAGGTACTCACCTCTTTACACATTTCCACCCATCCTTACCCCACTTTGACTCACCTTTTCTTCATGCCTTGCATAGGGGAGTTACTGTGCATGAAGATTGTGTCACCCTCCTATTAGTGGAGGGCTGTCGTCCCATGATGATGTCATCTTGTACCAGTGCAATTCATGTTGTATGCATGAATTTAGGTAGAAGTTAGCCTAAAGCTTGTGGCATGCAAATCTCACAAGCAGACGCTTAAAGGAAATAACATTTCTGTGTGAAGAGGTATCTATCAGAAATACATTTTCAGGTTAGGAAAATCTTAACTTCTAGTTCTCATCAGGAAATTGGTTTTTAACTGAAAATACTAAACATATATGGCTTCAAAAATAAAATTTGTATATTAAGCTAATTGTACATTGCGAGAAAAAACACATTAAGTTCAAGTCTTAAGATAGCCTGACTGTTAGATGTGTAACAGCTTATTAATGAATGGCAGTATTTGGTGATAGGAGGATTCTCCCTTTGTTGATTAAAAATGCTCTTGGACTGATGAAATGCTGCTATGTAACTGGTGATTCATAGAAATCATCCATATATTTAAGCACACGTTTATATTATTAGGTGTCTGCATTTCAGATTATGTTGCAACACTGACTAAACTAATACAGCTTGATAATTTTTTTTTGCTAAAATTATAATAAATAATTAATTAAATACAACGTTTTATATTTACACAATAAAAACTTTTATTGAAGCCGTACGGTGCATGAATTATGGCATTTTGTCTAAGATATTGCTCAGTATGATACAACAAACAAACTGTTTAACAATTATATTATGGTCTTCTTTTCACCAAAGGTAAAAGTGAAAATATAACATGTGATGTAGAAGCCTAAAGCATTCTTTAACTTGCTGCACCCTTTGCTATGGATTACAGTTTCACTTGTTCAAGGCTAATTAGCACAGTTTTGGTCAGCAAACCAAAGCTTTACAGTTAAGCCTGTTATAATGGTAATGTGTATGTGATATTTGTGGGGTTTTTTAGTTCTTTTGAACTCACCACATAGTAACCTAAATTGGTTTAGGTGTATGAATAATATTATGACCAGGAATGAAGAAGAAAGCTCACTGAAAAACATGTTAAATACTAGCGACAAAAATGATGGGGCAAGTACTGCCACCCCCCACCCCATAGTATATCCTAACCTCACCTTTCATAGCTAAATGAAATAAATAAATTTTGCAAAATCAAGCTTGAACAATAAAGAGGCAGAAAAGTGCAGTCGAGGCAGTCAAATGTCGATAACTTCCTTTGTGAGCCAATCAAAATTAAGATCATTCATGAAATGAATTTGTGGCATATACATAGAATAATTATTTATAAAAATCAGTTATAATAACAACTTGTAATAAATAGAAAAGCCAATGTATTTTTATAACACCATGTTCAAACAATGGATTTTATGTCATGTTGCTTAGCAGCAAAAGTATAAACTAATATTGTTGTTAGTCTGTGTACTGAAAGTATAAAATGAAATGTATAGACAATAAAACTGGAAAAAAATATTTGTTGACTTCTGAATTTAAGAGTCTCCATTCTTTAAAAAAGTTTGTTTTTGATTAACAACTTTAGTGATATAGCAGAAAACAGCTTAATTCAGAAATGATTTATGTTTAAAATTGAATCCATATGTTTACATTCATGATAAATTTTATACACTTTGATCTTGGCTAGGTGATCCCACTCTACGTCTTTACTTTAGGTTTATTATACCAACACTCACTACACTTTCACACACTTTTCATAAAGTTTCACACATCCTTATGGCCCCCTTGCATCTCCTCACTAAAATCGTAAGGGGCATACAGCAATTGAACTATTCTATCTGGATAAATGCATTTGGACTTTTGACTCCTCGTATTTTGAGAAATCATGTGTGATGTGACACACACTGGCTTTTATGTAAGTTAGATATAAATGTATTCCCTCGGAATCTGAAGGAAAACTGTGAAAAATCATTGCTGATGAAATTAACAAGTCCCACACAGATAACATTTCAAGAACTAAAATCTCGAGAATTCTGTAGAAATGTGGCCTTTGGGAATGGAAAGTCCTAATTGTGCAAAAAGAATATAACAAAGAGACTAGCTTTTGTGAAAGAACAAGCATCTTGGTCTTTTGAACAGGGCATAAGATGCTTTAAACAGATGAGTCTAAATTTGAATTGTTTGGTTCCAGTTGGCATGTGTGTATTGGCCAAAGAAGGAGTAACTTGTGCCAACAGACAAGCATACAGGAGGCTTTTTTTGATGGTTTGAGCTGCAATATCTGCAAATGGTGTCGGACATGTTCTTAACATTTTTGGAATTGTGGATCAGCATAAGTACCACAGTTTTACACCCTCTGAAAAGAAGCTCATCAGGAAGAATTTCATGTTTCAAGAAGATAATGGTCCCTATATACTCTTCCAAGAAATGTTGAGTTTATTTGGCAAAGAATGAAAGCTCAGGAGATCTCCAGTGAATAGAATTGCTGCCACAAAGTCCAGACCTTAACCCAACAGAACAAATCTAGGGTTTGTTGGACTCCATCTTCAGCAAAATTACCAACTGTATTTACGGAAGCATCTGGACACAGCTTAAAGAAAATGAGATCAAATTACGCCAAAGCCTTTGAGAAAATACACAGACACAGTGCCACAAAGATGCCAAACTATTATTAATGCCAAAGATGGCTGCACCAAATATCAACATTAGATAAACTTAAGTACATTATTTGTGTTCTAATTTTATAATACTTTCCTGTAAAACTAATTGTAATAATTATATTTTAATTTCTATAGCAAATCAATGTCTGTTTTATGTGTAAAAGTTATAAAATGAAATTTTTTAGGTGTTTGAATAAATTTGGACACTACTGTACATTTTTTTGGCAACTACTTTATTTTTCACAGGCAGCAGAAGTTGTTCGACCTTTAATGTCTCTCCTACATCCAGATTGCTCTGCACTGCAGAATTTTGAAGGTCTAATGACAATAACCAATCTAGCTCAAGTAAGCCCCAGTGTTAGGTGAGTATTGCTATTCAGTTGTTTACCAATTGGTATAGAACAGTTCCCACTCTATATATCATATTTATATTATGATCAATATAATAAGTTTAGAACAAATTTTTCAACGGCTTAAATATATATGTATAAGGAAGAAATCTGTTTCATTTTTGTTTTTAATAAAAATAGTTAGTTGAATTTAGATTAGCTATTGTATTCAATAAGGAAGTCAGGCTGTACCAGAAATGCTAAGATTTTTATATCTCAAGATTGAAATAAAGGAGCCATCTAAATTATTAATGGTTTCATTTTGAGTTTACTTAGTAATTAAGTATTATTTTATTACAAGTTAAAGCTTTTAAAGTAATAACGTGCCTGTTCTAAAAACAAATTCTTCTTACTGTAAAAGCTGTAATTTGTAACAAAGAACATCTAAATTATTGTTTGAAAAGCCTCTTTCACATCAAACTTAATAAAACCTAAGCATAGTTAAGCTGTTATAATATATATATATATATATATATATTTAAGAAATTTTTAGAAACATTGAAGTTTAACTATACACCAAAACTGTTATATAAAATGTCAGCTGAATTGTGTGTTTTTGAAGAGATCATTATTTGTTTGATAAAGCTAAAATTAACTAAGGTAATTATCTATTATATCACACAGGACATTTGTTAAAGTTAATTATTACAGAACTCACAATTTTAGAATTTCTTTCATGCACTCAATGTATATTCAACCCTGTAAGTCCATGAATAGTAGTGTAATAAAGACATAAGAATTTTTGTCTACTTTATCAAGTTGCATTCTTTCCTACTATAGGAGTCGTATTCTGAAAGATTCAGGATTTTCTTGGATTGAAAACTATATGTATGAAGAACATGAGATGCTGAAACGTGCAGCTACACAGTGTATAGTCAACTTAGTGACGTGTGATGAGGTATGATCAAATTATAACTAGTAAAGCTAGTTCTATGTGTAAATGCCTATGATTATTCTATATTCCATAAATAATTCATATATTATATTATTAATAAAAGTCAATATATCAAATACTGTTCATTTCTAAATATTCCATCAAGAGTGATAGATTTGTTTGTAAATTCAAGTGAGTATTTTAGTTGATACTTTTTCTCAATGACCACATTGTTCAAGTTTTTTGTATAATACACCTATGCATACACACACATACACTAAAAGGAAAAGTTTCCTTTAGTGTATGCTTTTCCCTTATTTCCTTTGTGCTTTAGTTCTTTACCTTCTTTCTCCAGCCTCTGAATTTGCTTTAAGAGTGAAAATAATAGAAAAGTTTCCCCACCATGGTTTTAATTCTCTATATGTTAATCTTAATAACTAGACTTTATCTACTGGACAAAGTAATTTAATTTTGTTAGATATCATTTCAGCTGATGTTTAGTGAAATTTCCTCCACTAATGAATAAATGTAATTTCTAAAAAATATAACAAATATATTGAAAATAAGTTTTGTATGTGTTTTCCATTTCTCCTGTTTTTTAAAGAGCACCATTATGCATACAGTGTAATTCCAAGTACGAGAACTAACAGCACCATAACATTTTAGCAATTTTTCTAGCTTATTATGATGTTATATGTTAGATATACATGTTTGTTTAAGTTTAATGTGAGTGTTATGATTTAGATGGTTTAACCCTTTGGATGTTATAATCGGATTTATCCGTCTTGACGTTTGTAGCCGTTTGGTGCAACAAGCAGATTTACCCCATGGTGTCACAAAAACTTTTCCTTGTGGTGCGACAGTTGGGATACTCATACGTCCTTCAATTTCCTGTCTTAATACTGTGCATGCATGCATCACCAAACTAAAGTGCAAATGATGGATTTTGATATTGAAAAAATACTAAAAGAGGTCAAATTCTAAATTCAGTTTTTTAGTGGATAAGTGACACTTTTCGAGAACCCACCTAAAATTTAATTATGCACTCAAAGAATTAAGTATAACACGAGTATTAAATATAGGTATTTTTAAAAGCAATACTTAATTGCAAGCTTGTTTATGTAACTATTTTCAAATCATACATTGTGTAGCTCAATTGTTATGAATTGGTGATTGTTATATAAATTCGTCATATTACAAGAACTATTTTCGTTTTTCTCGTTGTTTTAATTCAGTATTATTGCATCATAATATCTAATAGTGTGTGGAACATTCTATGTCTGTGTTTGGGTATAAATATGCATCCAAAATGTAGTTTCAGATTGTTAATTAGACCCAGACTAAGTGATTGTGAGTTTAGCCATAAAGAGCTTATAATGGTGGTTTTGAAAGTGAAATTATCACAGATTGTGTTGTAATAATAGAATATAGGAAAAATAACTTGTCAATTGTGTTCTAATGTAATTCAATCAACCTGTGTGGAGTATGACGAAAAAGAGACAATTATTTAAAGTTCTGGATAAAACTGTAATAACCATCAGTGTAATGAATATTTGTGTGTACATTTGACTTGTTTTAATATATTTTAAAACAAGTGGACTGTGTGCAGTTTGTTTATTGTTGAAATTTATTGCCAACAAGTCATAGACACCTACTGTAAAGATTCAGGCCCATACATAAATAACCTGATAGTATAATGTACCTTACTCCAATGAGCTTCAACCATATATATTTCTGGAGATAAACTGACTGATTACTTTTTTCTCTTCACATTTTTCTCTTGGAGTTGGAATGATGATGATGATCCAATCTGGATACCTAATATACCCAGTTCAGATTGAGGTTGTTTTAGGTTGCCTATCTACCTTGGGGGTGTGGGATAAGGAAGTGACTCTAACGTCACAGAAAGACGTAATAATTAAGGTAGAAAAGCATTTTAAATGCCTAGACTTGTTTTTCTTCAATATTCTCCCTCTCTGTTAATACCTCCTGATGCTATTGCATGAAGGATATTTTCATTTCAGTAAGTTTTAACACATCCCCGAGATGGGTTTTAAGAACATTTTTAAGACATAAGAATTTACATAGTAAACACCATAACAGAGGACACTCCAACCTATAGTGGCCAGAAAGAACTTCCCCAGTGACAGTTGAAATATGACTATTTATTCCATAGATTACAGTAATGCTATTTGTATTATGTAACTGGCTTTTTCCTGTCCCTTCACTCACAAGATTAGATTTTCTCGTTTTGTGCTGACCTTTGTATGCGAATTTTTTCAGAAATACATGCCACAAGCCTTCATTATCCCTCTGTTGGAATCCAAAGTTCCAACACATCTCTCATGCAAAGTATCATGCGTCAGCTCTCCACCAATAGGAGAGCACTATTCTCACATGACGCATGTGACTCCCTCTACACACCACTACTGAACTATCACTTCTCGTTTGGCAGCTGTCGAGTTCAGATGTTCTTTCTTACATTGTTCAGTTACCTTGAAGTGGTTTATTTTTTCATTTTTTATTTTTCTTAACTTTATTTACTGCACTTCAAAGTTGTGGAGTTAATATTTTCCTTAACTCTATTTACTACACTTCAAAGTTGTATAGTTAATATTTTTCTTAACTCTATTTACTACACTTCACAGTTGTGTAGTTAATATTTTTCTTAAAGCATTACCTCATTGTGTTTGCCACATTTTCTTGCTTATGAATTCCAAAGTTACAGTCATCACTTTGGTTACTTTGCCAGTGTCTAATGCCATATTTTCAGCCATTTTCGTTGTTCATTCGCCGAGAGATTGAGCGGTATATAACCACACTCTCTCACCTTCTTCTGCCCCATTTCCTCCTGAGCCTTTCTAGCCAGGCCAGGCTGACAACACTTTTGATCATTTGTTCCCCCTCCCCCCAGAGTTTTCTGTGCCTTACCGTTCACTACCTAATGATTCAGCTCGTCCATCATCGGTCTTTTCAGACTTTATCTCTCAGGTATGTGATGTTTTGTCTCTTACACCTGTTTCATATGGCCCCTAGAATTTCTCTTTTACATGAAACAACTTCCCGACCCTGTTTAATTTTTCCCCATCCCCTGATATTAGGGTTCACGCAGACCAGTTTGTCTCTTAACGGGGAGGGCAACATCCCCCATGGACTTCGAATCAATCCATCCTTGCTTATCATTGGGTGAACCCAGATTACCCTGTACAACTTACCCAAGCCCCATTTTCTCGCCTTCATCTCACCCTCGTGATCCTATAAAGGTACCTTTCGTCCTCTCACTTTTTGTCAAAGGCATTTCTCTGCTGAAATCCTCTCCATCCTTACTTCTACATTGGCTCGTCTGTTGTCTTCAGCTCTCGTGCTTCAAACGTGGTTTGTTTGTTGTTGGAACCTCTTGGGCCATGATGATGTTTTGGTGCAGACCCATCTCCAGGCTCGTTATTTGAGGGACCTCCTCATGGTACTGTTTCTGCAGCATTATGTGTTTGACTTGGTTCCAGAGTCTTTGGAGTCGCGGGTGGCCTTGGCCAATCAACATTCTACCCTTACTAACTTGGTAGCTTGTTTGTCGCAGTCGGGGCCGAGCGCGGCACCAGTTCCTATCCCCTAGCCTTTTCCTTCCCAACCTCCCACGGTCATAGTTCAATGATACATGGTCAGCCAACAGCAGTAACTAGTGACTACATGGTCAGTTTGGGCCCAGTGGGGGCTTATCTCTTAATTTCGTTCATCAGTGGGGACCTTTTCTCACTGATTTCTGGGATTACAGAGTGCTCTCAGAGGGATAAGTTATCCCCTTTCTCTCCCTTCCTCCCTTATCCAGTGTTTCCATTACCTTCCCTTCTATTCTGGATCCCTCGACATGCCAATTTATGTCAGAGGTAGTTCAGGACCTCATCGCACAACAGGCTATCAAACCAGGTTCACAGGGATTTTACTTCCACCTGTTTGTGGTTGTCAAGAAGGGGGACTAGTGTTTTATTATAGATTTATTCCATCTAAATCAGTATGTTCACACTCCTTGCTTTACCATAGAGACATTTCTATCCCCCAGCTTTTTCCTTCCCAACCTCCCACAGTCACGGTTTGCTCTTCTTTTTTGACCATCTCTCAAGGCAAGTGGTACATTTATTGCTCCTGGGCATTGACTCGGTGGTTCCGGGCTTCTCACCCAACAGTCAGCTGTATCAACAAGTTTCTCACATGGCTCTCTCGATTTTGGGGTTTTGGGTGGTGTTATCCCATACCTTCCATTTTTCCCATTTCTGTAGGGTCTTTGTTTTCCATGTTTACCTGTTCCTTCCAGCTCCACTGGCCACTTTACCTCCATTCGAACCTCTGTCTACATGTTCCCTGTTTCACCTATCTTTGAAGGTGTATTTCTTCCTTCTTCTGGCCTGTGGGCATTGTAGGTCAGATATTTTCACCCTCAATATCACCTGTACCTTGTACCACTCCTCCTACCTTATCCTTTATCCAGATTATGCTTTCCTTTCTAAAACCTCTGCAGCTCAAGAAAATCAGTCCTTCTTTTCCCCTATCTGCCTATCCTCTATATCTCATCTCTGCCCTCGTCCTAAACTGGATAAACCTGTCCATGCCCTCCTTTGTTATATTGCTTGCACGGCTTCATTCCAGGGTACTCGTTCCTGCCTTTTTATCCCTTGGCAACCTTCCTCTTCCCATGATCTGCCCCTAGTTACCCTGAACAATTGGGTTCATTGTTTGACCCAGTTTGGCCTATTTTTTCTTGTCTCCTTTCAAGTGTGATCTCTTTCACATTTCCTCACATCAAATCTCTCATCTTACCTTCTCCCTTGCCTCTCATCTTCATCAGCCATTGGAGGATATTCTATGATCATGCATGTGGATGATTCCACACTCATTCATTTCCCACTACCTACACCACATTGCTATTCTACAGACTTTGGCATGGCTGTGACACAAGGTAAGTTTTTACTAATGCTTTCTTTTCTTTCAGGGGCCCCTGTTTCAGCTTTACTTTGGATCCTGCTCCGTGGTGAGTGGTGCCTGACCATATTCTGTTTGTACTCGGAGTGAGTTCCACTTAGATGGCTATGATCATTTGCAGACATCAAATTCTCACTGTAAACCATGTTGATTCTTATACATTATATCACCCATTGCACTGTCCTCAGGTATTGCTGTTACTCTGGACTCTCCACCACACTTTTTCCACTTTTCCTCCAGTGGAGTACAGGAGTCCTTACCACTTACCAGTTCCAAGCCACTGGGGTGGTTGACCATGGAGGAAGCCTGCTGGATGGGTTCCACAAAGGTGGCTATAACCATTCAGTTCAGAGTAGGGCAATGGTGTTCTACTGGTGTAGAGGGAGTTACAAGACCCTCTGGATGAGTAACTAATTCCGAGAGTCGAAATACCCAAATGCAGTTCACCCCTCCAATTGGGTGCCCTCCTCCTACACTCGCATAGACGTCAGTACCCAGAGAGTGAAATTTTGGAGATCGAGTGAACCAATCACATAAGTCCTCACACAAGTTTTGGGTTGTCCATCTGCCCTTCTGGACTTGTCTTCTGTGTTGTGAGTCGCAGAAGGTCTAAGTGGCCTGTTTCTGCTTATGCCCTGGGTTTTCTCTCATTGGGTGACAAGGTTGTTACTGATCTAGTTTTTTTTCTGGCTGGTTTCACTGTCGTGGGGGTTGAGTGCATGTGATGAACATCCCTTGGATTCTGGATGACACATTCCAAGGTCCCTGGCATTAGGCTACCCTGTGAGTTCCTGGAGTCGAATTTTAGGTTTCCTCTTGACTCTGAGACTTCAAGGGAAGATGGTATATGATCCTCATCCTACCGTTATAAGGATGTCTGTGCCCAGTGAGTGAAGTTTTGGATGTAGTTGACTTACCGAGTACGGTTCGTCTTGTCCTTGCCACTCTACATCATGGGACACATCCTCACTTGCCCACTTTCCATCATAGGATTGAGTGATTCTAATTTCTGTTTAAGATCACATTGGTAACTATCCTCTCCCATTCGGATACGCTCCCTTCATGTTCTGCCATGTCTGGTCCTCCTGATCATGTCGTTGTTCATGGCAAAGAGATACCTGGCTCAGATGTGGTGCAGTACCCTTCCTTAGATCTTCTGATCTGATCTTCTCATTTCGGGGGTGTCCTCCAGATGCTTCTGGAAAATACGCCTATGCTTCCCTTGCACCAATCTCCCCTCCATTCCAATGTGTAATTCAAGCTAATCTTGTGAGCAGAGGGAGAGTACCTTATCAGAAGTCACCCATCCTCCCCACAATCTTCCAGTGCTTGTATTTTCTGTCAAACTTTAAAGTGATAGTTCAGTAGTGGTGAGTAGAGGGAGTCACATGCATCATGTGAGAGTAGTGCTCTCCTATTGGTGGAGAGGTGATGCATGATGATTTGCATGAGAGACGTGTTGGAACCTTGGTTTCCAAGAGTGAGATGATGAAGGCTTGTTGCATGCATTCTGAAAAGTTTGCATGGGCTGCACAAAATGAGAAAAGCTAATCTTGTGAGGAGAGGGAAGTATCTATCGAAAATACGTTTTCATTTAGGAAAATTATGACTTTTATGTTTATGTACTGAGAATATAATTCAGTCGCTTATCTTTTAACTTGTATTTTTATTACGAACTTACATGATTAATTTTTGTTTACTGTTTTCAACTTTTATCTAATGTTGGACTTAATTTAATAAATCCTGTTAAATAATTTATGTTAAGTTTGAATCTTTTATGTTTACATACATGAGCTTTTCAGATCATTATTACAAATAACAGATAATAAATCATTGTGAAATTGTGTGTGTTGGCACATTTGGTGAAACTGACTTTGATATGTATAAAAAAAAAGTTTTGTTAGGCACTTTCCTTCTTTATTAAGAGTTAATATTTAGTTGCATATTTCAACGTGTGTTTGTTTTGTGTGCATATTATTAGTAATTTGAATTTCTACTTCACATATAATAATAATATATATAATTACTGTATTGTTTGCTGTTACAGAAATTTTACATTTTAATTCCTAATATTGTACTTTCATTAATGTACCATTTGCCATATACTGGCTTTCTCATCCAATAGTCATTATAACTGTGACAGTGGATGCTTTTGGTGCAGTTCTAGATTGTGACATGGCTCTTAAAACTTGTGTTGCACAAAGTGCCATTCAAATTGAAAATGATAAATTCCAAAGCTGATAATTCATCCATAATAAAGAAAATATAGATTATCAACTTATTGTGAGCATACATTTCTACATAACTTGACACTTTCTTTTGTTTTTTATTAATATAAATGTATATTTAAATAAATAAGCTCTATTATTTCTATAATAACATTCTGAATAGTTTCAAAATTATTATTCTACTGCTCATCCACACTAGGTTATTAAACATTATGAGGGAGATAATGACAGGGTCAAGTACCTTGTGCTTTTGTCTGAAGATGATGACTTTGAAACAGCTAAAGCTGCATCAGGGGCTCTGGCTATGATAACTTCATCCAGCACAACTGCTTGTAAGAAAGTGTTAGAGGTAAGTTTTACCAACTGTTCAGCTTTTTTTGTTTGTTTGATATTTGTACACTTATCCATTTTGAACATAAATTTGTTTGTAATACTAGTAATAAAAACTCACAAAAGTGATTTAATTTTATTAAGTGTTACTTTCTTTTATTTACACCATGAAACTGTACTTTCTTCTCTATCCCTACAGTTACATTTATGAAATAGTCTAATCAGTCCATATATTTTGATTTTTATATGTAGAATAACTAAATGATAATCTTGCCACAAAACCTCAACAGAACTCCCACCTCCTATACATAGTACTGTGGATTGTGCAAAAGCCTAGCTTGTAATCATCATTAGTGTGTAGTGCTCTTCCAGTAGGAGGGTGACACGTCTTCCATGTGCAATAATTCTTGTTTGCATTAATATCTGAACAAGGTATATTCTTTCCTTGGTACTGCTTTGTTCAGATGTGTTTTTCATAAGAATTAATGGAATTTTTGAGTTTATTATTAATGTAGTTAAAAGAGTAATTTGTGTATATGTGTGGGAAGCTTTTTAACTTTTATTAAACTATAGAAAAATGAAATTAGTAGTAGGGAATTATGGACAACATCACCATATCCAAAAGGAAGGAGTGAGTGTAGGTAGTACTATGTATTGCAAAGGGAAAAGTAGTTGGAAAATGGATCTGTCATCCCTCAGAGCCCCATCTCAGACAGCAGTATTTATGGGTTAAGATTTTGTGTGTGAATTTCAGTACTGGTATAATCATCCTGTTGAGTTTTAATATTTGCCTCCATTACCAAGATTTTAAAAGCATCTCTAGATCTGGTGTGTCATTTGATTTGTAATTTTTTATCAGACCACTTGGCTCAAAGTGTATTTTGTATTTTAGATGTTTGGTAGGTATCGCGTGTTGTAGAATAGGTTTAACTTCACAGTCATTGAGACATTACACATAGCCATCAGATTCATTCAGAACTATTCATACATTACTTACCTCACACGTGAATAGTCTAGGTAGGTCACTTAACTGTTTTAAGTACTGTAAAAATACAGCATTGCCTTTACATTTTATAAATTTTGTGCATTCAAATACAAAAATACCACCACCAAACAAATGTTTCATATACTGTGAGTTTTCCTTCTAGTTTTCATTATTATTTATAGTGTTGTCTTTTTCACTTTTATTTTCTTGATTATGAGAATATAAAATACCAAACGTTTAACAATTTCAATTACATTTTTGATTCAATTATTTTAAATTAGATATATATTTTTTTAATCAAACTTGTATGTTGGGACATGTTACTGTGTTTATGATAAGGTCACTTTCACAGTACCATTTACAATTGCTTTAACTTGGCATATTGATTTCTTTTATTGTTCTTCAAATTTGTCATTACAGACAATGATGTAGGCCTATGTATGACAGATACACCTGGCCAACTTTTCCATATATATGTATTAAAAACTTTGTAAAACAAAAAACATTGAAGGTTCGAGGAATCATCTGGATTATGAATTGCTGTTTCCACATAAATTTGTGACATCTCTCAAAGTTTTGACACTCCTCCACAGTAGTTGTCGAATACTTTAATAGTGACTGAAGGCACTTTGAGGTCAGTGGTGTTACCACCATTGTTCATGTGGACTACTTAATTATATCCCTTTTGATCTTGGATCCAGGATTGTCCACTTCCTGCTTTTGTTACTTTGGTTTAGTCTTCCCCATCTTTTGAAGAATTTGGCCAGTGTTGTTTATGCTGCAATTCAGGTTTTGATACCTGCAGTGAACAAAGTGCAAATAGCCCAATTTTATAATTTTATGCTTGCCAACAAGCAGGTAAATCATATTACATGGTGGCCAATATGATAACTATACCCTAAACAAACATCACAATTTCTATAACATTGAAGTGTACAAGTTAGATACCTTTTGCAGATACTTACTTTTGAAAAAGGGAAGAGGAGGAGATCCCCAAACTGAAAGAGATTCAAGTGAGTGACACTCACGCAACAAGGTAGCCCAAGACTGAGCAAAAAACAAAATACTGTTGCGTCAGCGAGTCACATGACTACTGTGGCGCCCTCTTGTTTCTAGAACTATCCCGTATCTTGGCGAATGCTCTAGTATTTGCTAGATGGGGTCGGCTGGTATATAAAAGAGGGGAAGGTAATGTGTGCGTAGATAGTGAGTAATTGAACTGCAGTCATAGAGCACGAGAGACGTTACAGCGTTTGTTTAGCGCGATTGTTGAAGTTGAGTGTATCGGTAAAGTTATATTCGGAAAGAATAAACCAGTTTTATTAAGTAAAGACTTGTGTCGCTAAAGTTGAATCAAAGTGAACAGAGATGACTACTGACAAGTAGCTTCAGTACAAGATTCCACACTTTAAGAAATACCACTAACTCATCACATAGAAAGGAAGCAACACAGAGGTTCCTGGCAGAAGACTGAGTGAGACAAATGCCAGAAAGTAATGCAAGATAACTGGTATACAATGGAAGAAGAAAATCAAGTACATGGTGGAAAACAAGTATGTGTAAATTTCTATAGCAAAATTGACAGGGTTGTGAAGGAAAGTCTCTTAAAAAAATTAAAGCATGACAGACAATGAAGAAGTTGAGTAAAGAGGAAACGAAAGTGAGTAGATGAAGAGTGAGAGAGACAAGGACGAGAAATAGGAAAGGTGGCTATCCCATGAATTCTATAAAGGATGGCAAACCAGATGGGGAACCCAATATTCAAAAAAGCAAGTCTTGTTACTATCCAAAGAGCACAGGAATTCAATTGTGACACTAAACTTTAATGTACAGACATGCTGTACTATTACAGCATCAAAATCATAATATGATTGATGTTGAAATTCTCTTTGAGGGCTGGACTTCATGGATTTTGGAGGCGGTTTGTTTCTGAAGCTAACTCTCAGTTTCAGTCTGGTTGGAGCTCAGCATTTCCACTTTGAACATGTGTGAACTTCTTTTGCTACACTTTACTGACTTACTCAGGAACTGTCTCTGTCCCTACACTCTCCACCTCACCTAAATCTAATGCCACGGGACAATTCTTCAGCCTACTCTAGATTTTACTCCCATCTTTTGAATTTTTCCACAAATATGGGAGATTGGTATCCTCTGCAACAAAAAAATTCATATGAAAGATACAAAAATCGAAATTACAACATTTAATAATACCTTAAAAATTGTTTCTCATTTTATCTACTGTATTTTTTTAGACCTTCAAAAAAATTACAGAATAACTAGATTACATCGTTAAATAAATTATTGTTAAACAAATTAAAGAATATTGAAATTGCCTCATTTATTAATATTTTATTTTCTAGTATGAAGTTTTTATGGTATTTTTAATTTTTTTCTAAATATTGAAGCTTTTTTATTTTTGTATGGCAATTTTCAGAATGCTAGATTTTACTGTTGTAGTGATTACTGAATATAACTGTTTAATAAAAAAAATTATTTAAGAAAAACACATTTGGTACTTTTTGATATTTATTAGAGATGCATGCATTTAATATGTCACTGTTTCAAATCATTTTTGTCTGTACCTTGAACTGTATCCCTGATTTCAGGCACGATCTTGGCATGAGATTTTATGTAAACTTGTTGCTAGCCAGGATAAAGATTTACAGCATCGAGGTGTGTGTATTGTCCACAATATGATTCTAGCTGACCAAGAACTCGCTGAAAAGATTGTGGAGACTAATTTATTAGAGGTACTAATGGCTATTGTTCGACCTGAAGTTGATGATGTTTCAGAGAAAGTCAAGGATTATGCTCGTGTTGCTTTGAAAAAAGCAGAAGATTATAAATTGATTATGTCAACTGAAAAAGTTAGAATTTCTGAATCAAAAGATGAAGAATAAAAGCCAATCAAAAATGTATTCTTAGTACTTTTTTATCAATTATATAATATTATATTCTTTTTTATTGGTTAATTATTTTTATTTCTTAAATTTATATAATTTATTTACTCAAATTACTTTGTAAAATATACACTCGGAATCAGTTACTATCTATTTGAGTGACTAATGGAGAGTTCTTTAACCATACATATATACTTAGTGACAAAACAATAATTTCAGGAGATACTCCAGTCTTTAACAAAATTGTATGTTACATCATAAAGAAAAAAAGATTAAGTTAGAATTAATAAAGACAAAGAATTATAAAGTTTTATATTTGCTAAATTTGATAGTAATTACTTACAAATACAAAAATAATATTTTCTAAAACATGACTCTGGCTTCATTATTTTCTTCAAACTTTTGAAATAAAAAATATACATCTTTTGTTCACAATAAATGTTCCTTTTTTTGACAGTCTAATGTCTCCTAATATTTTAATTTGTAATGCTTTTTTTTAAATAGATTAATCCTAGAAATTGTACCAAAATAGTCTCATTGCCTCATGTACTTCTAGGTACTACATGTATTAGTGAACAATGAAACCAAACAATTATTAGATAAAAACAAATAGATAATTACACCAACTATGGAGAATCAATTAAGAGTTAGGATTTGAATGCTTGAAACCACAATGTCTCAACTCCAACTGCTTTTTGCTGCCTGCAGCCAGTTATGGGAAGGCAGTTACCCTTAATATTTAGAAATAGCTTTAATGTAGAAATAAACCAACCCAAAGAAATTCTACAAAGTAAAACTCCCAACCTCCACCCTTTTATTTGATATTATAAAAAATAATGATATTCTTATAGTAGAAGTGAGCCACCCTAAATTTCTATACAAAACTCCCAACCTCTACCCTTTTACATGATATTATAAGATATAAAAGATATGTTTTACATCAACATTTAGATTTTGCTCAATAGATGGAATATCCCTGATACATTTGGGTGCTATAACCACAGGCATTATCCATTATGACTGAAGGATGACAACAAGGATAATAACAGAGGCATAATGTTGGATTTGAATTTTATTATATTGTTTCTGGTTTAGATTAAGTTCATTGTTGATTTATATTAGTGATTTTAATCGCCTATGAACAATTGATGTATTGCATAGTATTAGATATATATATATAACATTTTTGAAAGATACCAAATTTGTATTTTATCTTTAAAACATCTTGTTTAATACTATAAAAATCTTTGCTGATATTTTCATACTAAAAATGGTAAGTAAACCTTTTGGTAAAATAATATATTTCTAACTGTAAATTACATTGTAATATATTTTGTGCATCTTAGTTTTTGATTAATACTATTTTAGACCTTCTTGTACTTAAACTTAACGTCATATTATATTAGTTAGTCTGTAATTAAATTAATAGTTGGTTTTGACAGCAACCTCGTACTTATATATACACACACACCCTGGGGGTTTAATGTTGGAAGAAATCCTTTCTTTTGTAACTAGTGTGTCAACCTGATGGATAAAGCATGTGATTATTCATAATTATTAAATGTACATTTAAAGACGTGTATTTAAGTAATTTTGGTTATTAAGTTATTATGATTTATTTGCAATTTTGTCTCATTTACAAAAATTGGTATTTTATCAATTAGGAAATAGTTGTTTTTGAAAATTTTTTTGTAAAATTAAGTTTTCAGTATAATACAATGTTTTTTAATAAATCTGCTTCTCATGACATAAATATGTGCATAAAAGGTATTAATAAACATGTGCCTTGAAGTAATTAATATTCTATGATGTACGTAGCACAGTCTTAAAATTTAATTACGAAAATAAAGCTTAGATTGTTGCATTAAAAAAAGTATTTATAGGATGTCAATTTAATACAAAATATAAAATCAGCTTAATTTACTATGGAAAAATTGTCAAGTTCATTTGTGGTGTTCTTGTTTGTTAAAGGCTCTTTGAAAATGGTCTGTCATATGCATCTAAAGGATTTTACACTTAATTAATGTCCATACATTGTAACTTTGCTATTTAAAACTGTTGTTTTAGTACATATATTTCAGTTGTACTTTACAATAAATCTTCCCAATTGTTTTTATTTCTCTTATACAACAATCGTTACAGACAAATTGTTGACAAAAAATCTAAGCATCAGAGCTAATCCTCCATCTATCTGTATCAATAACTTGCAGTGTTAAGTCTTTTAATCCTTTGTAAATTTCTCAAGACAAGTCTTTCATTGTAGGCTGATGTTATTCATGCTGCCATTGTTTTCCTTTTATATAGTTTTATATGTATTCACCATCAGGTATATTCTTTTATATACAAATACTACATATCATACTATCCCATAGTATACATTCAGTATTTACAAAATCTTAACATTTCTCTAAGTTTTAATTTAGAATCAAGTTCAGATTATGTCCTAAATTCAGTACAATGTTTTATTTTGTGTAGCAAGGTCTGATTATGGAAGCTATCTACTGTTTTATTGGATAGATATATCATACTTTATGTTATGTATAGAAGACTTCTTTATGAATGTCACAGGAGCAGAGATACTTCCAGTTTCTTGAGATACAGTGTTCTGATTGGTCAGCTACAAAGATAACTTGAATCATGTATACAATTTGGCATTCTTTGAACAGATTTGCTCTGACCTAGAGAGGCAAGACTCATTTTGGAAGTTTCATATTTTTTCTACATTTTTCAGCCTGCTGATAACATCACAAGGTAATAGTACTACCACTAATCAATTAGTGTTTTTTATTTTTATTAGTTAATAAAATTTTACATTTGAAATTTAAATCTAACACTGTATCTTGTCACTTTATTCCACCAGTACAAGTCACTACAACTCTCCTTCTGCACACTAGGTTATCGAATCTCTTGTTGCTATGATAACTGTGTATGAATTTGATGCTTGAAATTACCAGAGTTTGTCTCGATTAAATAAAATTCAGTATCATATACCATGATCTAGTAATTGTGAAAGTGGTAGCTGATTTGTAACTTTAATTCCTCCAACTTTCCCCTCTTCCCTCTCTTTCTTGTGTCTTGTACTGTTAACAAGAAAATACTTAATAACTGCTATGTATTCTGATAAAAACTAGCAGATCTAACTAATCTGAGAGTGAGGTCAGGTGACCACTTGTCTCAATTAGAAAACTACTTTGCCAAATGCTGAGTACTTTCCTACACTTCACTGGGCATACCAAAGCTTCATGCTCTACCCACCAAATGAGATACTAAACCTTAGCCTGGTCCACTGGAACTTCTGATGATGTCAGTGTTTCTATGATTTTAAAGCAGGTTAGCCAAACTTGAAAACAAAGGTGGGTTGTTGCTGAAAGGGGGTAATCGTTTGTGGATACACCGAGATCTCCTGAGACAATACAGGATGTCAGGTAATCAGCAATAAAGATAAAGTGCTGTGAGTAAATTATATTTGTCAATTCAACTGTACACATCTCCTGGTGCTTTAGTTGTCATGCAAACCAACACATTATGTACCCTGGAGCCTACTTATGAACAGAGGAGAAGTATCAACAAGAAACTCGTGTTCATGTGGTCTTGGATGGCATATTATGATGAACATGTATAACATTTAAATCATTCCCCACTATGTTTAAATTTCCTATTAATCAAAATTTATATGTATATGCACATGCATACTTTGGTATGAAAATCATATTAGTTAAAATGCATGAGTCAAGTGAACCTGTGTCCAATAAAAAGAGAACTTGAAATATGGAGGAAAAATTATATGTTGTTTAAAGTAATAATGGATGTGAAAAGTTCACTATTTATGTGACCTTTTTTTCTGTGCAGCTGATGATGTAAAATTTTGTGGCTATGATATACAGCAGACAAAATAGGCAAAGGTAAATTATAATATTTTTATCTTGTGGAGTGACAAAAGGTGCAGAGTTAGCTTATTTCAGTGCTCTGTCTATCCCTTGTCACATGTACATGTGCATAAACAGTAAACATAACTCATCACTACCATGCCCCCACAGGTAAGAGAGAAGTCACTAGTTTATGTAGTCACAATGTAACTGTGTACTTTTTGCAGCATTCATTGTTTTTATTTTTCTTGTGAAACTCAGCAGGAGCATTACATTGAGTGCTGTTTCTCATAGTACTTGAGAACTAGGCATTTAGACTGCAGGGGAATGACATCAAACTATGGCATTTTGGTGAACATGTGAGTGGTAAAGTTTTTGTTTCAGTGTAATGTAGAAATCCACCAAGACAGCACATGTAAAACCTCTAAATTTGGCTTTACTTTGATATTTTGAGTACTTTAGTGTGTACTTGGAATATACATTTCATCAATTACCACATAATACTGAAGCATGGAATGTTGACCTGTTTCCTTTGGGTCAAGTGTGGTCCAGTAGTTAGTGTGCCAGACTGTGGGAAAGTATGACAAGCTTATTTAAATGTCAAGTAATATGTTATCACACAGATGAAACTGTCTTGGCTCTTTCAGAAAGATGAATACTCCTTTATCAACAGAAGTAATTTCTCCAAAAAATCCAAAACTGCTTACAAAATATTTTCTTTGTAGTTGACTAATTAGAAAACAGATCACCATGCAGCTATTCCATGATACAGCAGATGAATTCCTCGAATGACCAGCCTACTAAAATGTAACACTTCTTGTCAAATTCAATAACATATTTAGTGTTCCAAAATCATAATTTAATGGAATTCAAAAATTTTGTAGCAATGAGATACATACTATGGGAAAATAAAATATTTAGTACAGAAGTTGAGTGTGTTTTATTAAAACTATTTTAACTATGCAAATCAGGTCATGTGACAGCCATAGCCAGTAAAAAGTGATGGTGGAAAGGAATGTATCAGAACTATACATTTTTATGAACGTAAATAAAATAACAACCTATATGTTTGTTGTTTCATGGGTATTGTAGCAGCCCTTTCCAGTGTCAAATTATCATGCTCTCAGATCAGGTGTTCAAAA